GCGGTGCCACGCCACGTCCGCAGTCGACGTGGTGCAGGAGCGAGTGCTGCACGGTACCGTGACGTCGCTCGACTGGGTGCCGCACTCGCATTTGACGGCGGTTGCTGCGAGGCGGCCCGACGGCGCCGGCTACTATGTCGAGGTGATGGATCTCCGTTCCCCTGAGAGTGGCATTCGCTACCTTGGAGCCCCCTCGGGCGCCATCGCGGTGCCACCGCAACTCACTAGTGCCGCACTGCCGGCGTTGTGCTGCGCGGAACTCATCGCGTGCGACGCCTCGCAGACGTACGTGGCGGCCGTCGGCAGCTACGGCCGCCGCGACGTGGTGCAGCTGTGGGACCTGCGCATGACGTTCCGGCCGGTGTGCTGGCATATGCACTCTCGCGCCGGCTACACGTCGCTCAGCTGGTCTACGTGCGAGACGCCCACTGTGATCGGCACTACACGCAACGGTGGGCTCCGGGTTCATGCCTTCACCGACATGCGCCCCGGTGATGAGGACGACGAGGAGGAGGAGCGCGCGCTGTCTGGCACAGAGGACGACAAGACGTCGGTGCGCTCAGCAGGCACCGGGGTGCTGTTCTCACTGACAAATCGTTTTAGTAGATCGGCGGAAGAGCGGTGCCGCATGCACGCGCGTGTGCCGGCAGCCAGTGTGGCGTGGCTGACGAATCACCACGCCACGCTCGCAACAGTGTTGAATGCTGACGCAGCAGCAATAGCAGAGGGAGGGGGTAACCAGCGCGAGCCATCACGACACGTGGAACTGGGAAGCCGCACCGACCTCCCATGTGTTCTGCTGCTCAACGCCAAGACGGGGGAGCTGTACCCGCAGGTCTTCTCACCGGAGGGCGGAACAATGACTATGGTCGGCGAGACACCGCTCTGGAGTGCAGGACCCAACCTCTTTCTTCCTTTGCACGAGAGGCAGCCAGCAGCACAGCAGGCGAAGTGGCGTTGCGCAGAGTTGGAGGGGACGACGAGTACCAACAACAACAGCATGGACAGCACGAGCACCCACGACCTCTTCGACGGCAGCAGCGAAGCCGAAAAAGGAGGCGGGCCCTTCTCCGGTTCACCAACCACTGTAGCGGACAATAGAGGGGCTGTGGCGGGTAGCACCATTAAAGCTGCTGCAGCTGCGGCTGTGGCTCTAAAGGAGACGATGGGCATCACCGGCGTTGATCGGACGTCGTGGCGATTAGAGCGTCTTCGCGCTGGTTTTTTACCACATCCCTACAAACTGTTATCGGTGCTCGCACGGGAGGGACGTGATCGTGAGGCGTTCGCCCTCTTCCGCTACGGGTGGTACGCGCAACGCTACCTGCACCCGGGAAAGGCGGCACTGCCCACCGCAGACGTTATCCCCGGTATTTTGTCGCTTTTGCAACACGAGCGGCAGACGACGGCCCCGAGCCCCACCACTGCGACAGCTGCTTATTCCCCGCAACAGACCACAGCACGAGTGCGTGAACTCATTTTGTGTGCGATGGGGTGGTGGGACAATCAGGGCGAAGAGGAGGCGTTGCTTGAGACCGCAACATCACCGACGACAACTGCGACAATGGTCGCATCGGCAGCAGCACCACCACCACTTGGCGGGGATGCGAGAACCCACACAAAGTCTTCTCGCGGTAGTGTGTCGCCATCGTGTCCGTCGGGTTTCATATCGCAGTCGAAAAGTCAACATCAGCAACAACCACGCGAAAAGAGTTCTGCGGTATCACCTCCGCAGTGGTCCCGGGCGAGTCTGGATGAGAGTCTGGATGTCGTCTTCCCAATGACTCTTATGCCGATGGAGGAGTACGCAACCGGCTCTGTCCCTGCACTTGGACTATTTGACCGTGTAGAGGCGGCTTCCCTGCAGGAGGCAGTGGAGCGACGAGCCGCCATTCTTGTCTGCATGGAGCGCTTCACGGAGGCGGCACTGTTGCTGTCTCACCACAGCCACCTGCATCCTCTCTACACGAGCATTGCGCTACAGCTGTCAGCGGCGGCGGTGGCCCACGACAACAGTTGCTTCCCCGTGTTCGCCCTGGAAATCTCTGGATGCAGCTACTGGATATCGCTGTGCCTGAGCTTTGTAGAGAAGGTTATGGGGGCTGTTTCTTCTCCCACACATGTGGACAAGTCAGAGCTGCACGACGCGAAGAACAACGCTGGCGGCAGCAGTAATAGTGGCAGACTGTGCCGTCTCCCACTTCAGATGCGCCGCGAATGCTTTACGTTCTTCACAAAGCGTTTTCCGCGCCTGCCATTGTCGGATCGGATCGCCCTCGCCACATCACTGTTACTGCAGCAGCAGCAGCAGCAGACTCCCGCCGAGGACCACGAGGAACAAAAAATCGCACTCTTGGAGGTTCTACGCGAGATGACACAGCAGCAGTTTACCCCAGAAGTGGCAAGGGGCTCCTCGCTCCTCTTGGCTGCCGCGGTAGAGGGGCTCGACCGCAACTGCACCTTGCTCCAGCGCTACGTGGATGAGACGGGCGATGTGCAAACACCGCTGGTGTACGTCGCCCTCTACGGTCCGTCCAAGAGCAAGACGTGGCGCTGCTGGAACGACGCCTACCGCAGTCAGCTCAATGCAGAGGGCTACGCCATTTTGCGAAGCCACCATGACCTTAGCTGTATTAAGATAGCACAGCTACGGGCGGGCGAAGGCGGCGCTGCAAACACCGGCGCGTTGCCATTGCCGCTTGGCGGCCTTGACGGCTTTGCGCCGCCTGCCGTCAGCTTCATCGGCGGCCCGTTTGGCGGCCTCGCGGGCGGCGCGGCACAAGACGCGAAGGGGAAGCAGCGGCGCGTGTGTAAAGACAGTGTTGAGTTGCGCTGCAAGTGCGGGCAGCCGGTTTCCACAACACCACCACCGCCACCACCGTCATCATCATCAGCACTGATGGGTGACATTGCGATGGCGGGGCGCCGTCAGCAAGCGTCCTGCAGCAACCCGAACTGCCTCACACCCATGTGCACGGTGTGTGGCCAGAAGGTGTTTGACCGCAGTGGTGGATTTGCTTTGGAGAGGTGTTTTACATGGTGTACCGTCTGCCTACACGGAGGCCACTGGGCACACCTGCGCGATTGGTTCGCGAAACACCAGACGTGTCCAGCAGAGGACTGCCCGTGCCCCTGCTCCCACCCCTCATTGCTGCAGGATGTGTGACGGCGTCTCTGTACATTGAGATACCTGAAAACTTTTTATTTCCGTTGATCTCTTTTCTTTCCTTGCTTGCGTAATCGATTCCCATTTTCCTCCACCTTCTTCCATGCTGTTGGGCCGCATGCTAGCGCAGCTCCTCTTCTCACTTCGCTTTTCAATCCATTTTCCTTCTCTTTATCTCTCCCTCTATCTTTCTGTCTATCTCTCTTTTTGCTATTGCCGTTCTCGTTTGTATGCCAAAGGAGGGAGAGAGAGAGAGAGGGAGAGTAAGAGCACCGGCGAGGGGAGGGGGACTCTCTCTCCGAAAATAGCCGTCTCATATCTGACGTGACGTGACGTGACGTGGCGGCTGGCAGTGGTGGCATGAAGTACTTTGCCTGCCAGCCAGATAGCCACAACGGCTTTGGCCTACTAATTGGCCACACACTTACCTACTTTGAGGTGGAAAACGCAGGGCGCAAGGATGCTGGTCCTACAACAGCAACCTCCACCGCTGCCGCCGCCGCAGTTGGCAGCAGTAGCAATCCTGCCGCGATTGACGGCGACGAGGCGACAAGGGTCCGCGTGCAGTGCACCCTGACGCTTCCCCACGACTTCGGCAAGGCGCCGCATTGCTTCGGCATGGCAAACCGCTCGATGTATGGGTTTGACATGGCATTCGTAGGGGCGAGCACAGGCGTGATGGCTGTTGTGGTGATGCCAACACGTAGTGTGATATACGCCCCTGGACGGACCCTCGCCTCGCTCCGCACCCTCTCTACACCACCAACAGACGCTTCGGTTGCTGCTAATGCTTCGGCAGCAAAGCAGTGCAATGTGCCGTTCGTGGTTCCGCACTCTCCCGGTTCACCAGTTGAAACGCTACGTTCTCCAAAATCTCTGGCTGCTCAGCCGGGGCTCGAGCATGGCGTTGGGACCATCACATGGATGCGTGACAAACCGCTTGTCTTTGTCGGGTTCATGTCAGGGCGTGTCGAATGGTATAGTGTGACGATCTCCGCTGCCAAACAGCAGGAGTACGCGTCGAAGGGATCACGCGTGGTTGGGGAGGATGCGGCACGCAGGCCAAACGTGGCGGAGGGCCCAAACTGCGGCGCGTCCCCACGGGTAGTAGAAACGACAGCAGCAGGAGTAGCATCTATTGAGGGACTAGGCAGCGCCGGCACGTTTGCACCGTCCACGTTGCAGCGCAATAGCTCTCAGTGGCTTGGCACGGGACAGCAGGCGTACGAAGACGGGGACGGAGACGGCATCCGCGTGCACTTGCACTTTTCTTGCAGCTTCCCCGATACCGGGGCCTTCCTGACAAGCGACTGGTTCGCCGCGACCGGCTACATTGTGGGTGGCGCCGAGCGTGCGGTGTACGTCTTCTCCACGGAGCAGCCGGGCTGCCCGCTGCACTGTGTGCCGCGGGTGGGCTGCAGCTTTCTCGCGTGCCACCCGTTCCTCCCTATCGTCGGTTGTCTCGCGTTTGGGCGGTCTGCCGAGGCGGAGACGACGCCGGACGCCTGCGTGCTTTACGTGCTGGAGTGGGCACCAGGTCGCACGCTCCGCCATGCGGCGCCTCGCCGCACGCTCGAGGCGACGCCGCGGCAGGGCGTGTACTACAGCTGTTCGTGGAAGTTCAGCTCCGACCTGCAGGTGGCCGTCTGCAACTTGGTGGAGGGTGCCGTGCACGTGCTGCACCTTTCGCCCTCCGAGGAGGGACTCGACGCGACGCCGGTGGGGACGGCGCAAGCCGCCACAACAGCAGCTGCTGCTGCTCCTTTTTTGCCACCGTCACCATTTTTATCGCCCCAGCACTTCTACGCGTTTACCCGCGAGCGCCAACTGCACCTCCCACTGCATTCTCTTGTCAATGTCGAGTTTGTCTCGGCTGCAACACACGCGCTGTCGGAGTTGACGCCGCCGCTGCCGCCGTCTGCCACTTCTTCCTTAGCTTCGCGACGCAGCAGACATAGTCTGGTACCGCGCGAGAATATGCTGGCGGCTCGCATGCTGAATCTCACCGGAGCGAGGAATAGGGACCACCGCGCCTCACTCAGTAAAACCGCCATGAATATGACGGCTAAAACGAGAAAAACATCGACAAGAACGAAAAATGAAATCGATGACGTTGACATATGCGCAGCAGCATCTGGTGGCGACCTTGTCAAGCCTGGACCAGGTGCCTTCTCACGCCTCGTCGGTGTTAACTACGCAGGGGAGCTCGCGTCAATTCCCGTGGACGCGGACGCAACTCTCACCATTCTGAGCCCAGACTGCTGCGCCATCGGGCTCTGCGCGTCGGTGTTTGCCGCGTGCAGCGATGGTGCTGCTGCTTCTTCTTCTCCGGCGGAGATCGACATGGAGCAGCGCATGAAGCGGCGGCTGGAGACGGGGTTTGGTATCCCCACCGACGCCAACGTACAGGCACTGCGGGAATTGAACGATCCATCGGAAACGGACCTACGCGTGCTGTTTGGGTACATTGCCATCATGGAGAAGGTGGGCGTGGTGGGCAGCAGCGGCCCTGTGCCGAGTGTCATTGACCTGCTCTCGCTTCCCAACGCGCCAAGCACGACCCAGCTGATGGATATGAAGCTGTTGCCGCACAACGCGGCGGTTGTGTGCCGTTCCTCCACCTCACGGAATGACTCCAGGCGACTCCTTTTGCTGCATCTGCTGGACTGGATCCCTTCGCAGGAGTCCTCTTCGCGTGGCGATGGTACGGCGAAGTGCTGCATGCACACTAACCGTGAGACGGCTGAGCGTGCAGTGGCAGTGGAGGTGTTGCACAACCGCCGCCCCAGAGCAGCTGCGGTGCTGTTGCAGCATCAGAAGCACAACCCCACGTACGCGGCGATGGCAGGGTTTCTGGAGCACTACGACAGCACTGCCAACGTTCTACGTGGAACTGTTTCAGAGGTGCGAGACCGCTTCTTGCGGCAGCTCAGCCCATGGCTGCTCGTGGCCTTTCTGCACGAACAAGACCGTGAGCAGATTTACGTGAACACCGCATTGCCGCTGTTGGACCGCGTCGCCATCGCCGTTCTTCTTGAGCCCGACACGTCGCGACTCGTCTCCTTGCTCCGCGGCACCTTCGCACGAGAGTGCACCATGGTACAGCGGCTGTTGCTGCTGGAGGGCATTCGCGAGAGCACCTGTCCCCTGATGCAGGGCATTGTGGACTGCACGGGGGACTTCCAATTGGCCGCCTGTCTGTTTGCGCGCATCGGGGCACCCGCTGCTGCAGCGCAAGGCCTCAATGTGGCCCATTCTATGGGCGCTGCGGTTCCACGCGACACCTTAGGGGGCGGCGGTGACGCTGGGAAAAGCAACAACAATACCAGCAACGAAAACACACATGCATCTCATCCCTGGCAACTCTGGGCGGCTGCATACTGTACTTTCCTTAACAACGAGCAGGAGTTTGTGAAGCGCACGATGTTTGATTTGGCATGCCAGCAGTTACGCGGGCTCCACGCCACCTCATCCACGGTGTCGCATTCACAGCAACAGCAGGAACGGGAGCGCGTGTTTATTTCATGCTCGAGACCGTCCAATGTGGCCCAATCTACAAGTGGACACGGCTCCCAGTGTGACGCACCTGAGCCCTACCTCCTGTCACAGCTTATACTCAGTGGTGGCCAACGTCGCTGCTCCATCTGCTCTGATGTGGTGTACGTGCGGCGTCAATGCGCACGTGACAGCTTCGCGTGGTGCACGGCGTGCCTTCACGGTGGACATGCCAACCACCTGCAGGAGTGGTTTGCAACACACCGCAAATGCCCCGTGTACGACTGCAGTTGCCGTTGTGAACAGGGCGGGGGTGTGCCGTAGGGGTGCCAGGGGAGTCGCTCATTTGTGGCGGTGCTCTCCCACTTCCAGTCATGACCACCAACTGGGACTTCGTAACGATGAGAGGAAGGATTTTTTGGGGCTTCGCTCTCCTGAACTCTCTTAGTGCCAATGCTGACTATTTTGTTCTTGATTTTTCTTCCTGCAGCTCTGTGCTTCTCTAGCAAAAGGGGAGCGGGGAGGGGCCCACACCCGCATAGCGCATGAGAAATGCGGCTTTACGCTTTAGAAGCAGCAGCAGCAGCAGCAGAAGCAGTAGTAGTAGCAGTAACAAGGCCCGAAGCAGTCTCCCTTCATTTGCTATTGTGGAAGAGCTGCGGGACCGTTTTCGGCGTCATCATAGCTTGAGCGCCACGCGAAGGAATGCCTTGCTGGGCGATTGGCGGCACTTTGCTGCGATGGAGCGCGCAGCAGCAACGTACGGCTCCTCCTTTGGACGCCGTACACCCTCCACAGACGGAGTGGCGGCTGCACGATACCACAGTGGCGCCAAGGAAGGGGGAGGAGAGGAGTTATTGCGAGTCTTGCGCAGCGTATCAGAGTTCATTGCGTCCACAGGGGAATGCAGCGACCCTGCTGTGCCGCTGCGGCGCGGCTACGCAGACCTAACACCGACCGATGGCCTCCGGCGGGCCGCACTCGTGCTGCGGTACACCGAAGCCGTGCTGTCGCTCTCTAATGACCGCATAGCCGCAATCGTTGCGCTGACATTCGGCCGCCGCTGTCTGTCGGGGGTAGAAGAGGATGAGGAAGAAGAAACAGTAGCCTCAGCGGCCGCCCCGCCAGTCGATGCCGACGCACTTCTGTACGACGCCACACGGCAGATGGTGCAGGAGGCTGTGATGCTGCCGCGCCCACGCGCGAACGGCGAGGTGGATGACGACGGTGCACCGCTCACACCGATGGAGGCGGTAGCGCTACTGCAGTGGTGCGCGTGGCACGTGCGAACGGCACTGAATGGTATGCAGCACGGCGCACCGCCGGGGATGGATGCAATTGCGGCTGTAGTAGCGCTCTTGACGCGGTTTCTTACCACGCTTGTTGAAGGCGGGCTGCGGCGTGGTGCTGTTGACACAGTGGCGGACGAGCTCACGCTGAGCGACATTGCACACATCGTTGTGGATCAGGGGTTGGGGCTGCTTGAAACGAGTGCGGCCCTCTGTGATTGTCGCAGCGCCGTAGCTCCTTCTGTACCCAGTTGCCCCAGCAGCAGAATCGGCACCGTGAGTGGTGGTGAATGCTATGATGATTATTCTGTAGCGCAGGTGGTGGATGATGACAACAACATGGGATGTAACGAAGCTGCTGCTGATTATAATGCTGATGATGTGTGGCACCGCCTTGGGCTCAATGAGGACGCGCAACAGGCACTCTTGTGCAGCCAGAGGGAGCGGTGGGAGCGTGCACTTTGTTTGCTGCTGCGCATGCAGGGCTGGAACGAGCGTCTTCACGCAGGTGGCGCCGCTACTACAGAGGCGGCAGCGCACGAGGCGAGCACGAATGGCGCGCTCAACAGCCAGGCGCTGCACACTCTGCTGGCAGGACCGCATCAGGTCCTGCAGACACTGCAGTACATACTCGCCCAGCACGGCCAGCAGCGTATGTGCATGGAGCTATGGAAGGAAACGGTCCGACGTCGTGGCGAAACGCCGACCACTAATCCCAATACCACTACTACTACTACTACTACCACTACGACTACTACTACTGCTGCTGTTGTTGCGGCGCCATCACCTTTCACGGCACTTCACCACCCATTCAGCATCGACAACATAATCACCGCGCTCGCTTTCGTCAATGCCAAGCCTGTTGCATACTTCCCACCAATGGGGTCAGCGACAACAATGGAGGCGACGCAGCGTGACAGTGAACTGCCGGCGAAGCTGCTGCGGCTGCTGCTGTATTTGGGCGTCATGCCACACCGTGTCCTCACGGCTGCGGAGTTTGCGGCACTTTTGCGACACTCATTCGGGCTGCCGCTTGGCCGCGGTGGTGTGGAAGGGATTCTGTCACCTTCGTACGTGTGGCGCCTCGCAGCGGCACACCCGCACCGCGCCCGCGCCACACTATGCATGCTGTGCTTCCACGTCGTTGTAAAGAGCGGGCTCGCCCACACACTCGAGCTGGAGGACCTGTATGTTGTCACGAGCATCTCGAGACAGTTCCTGGGTGGCCAGCTTCACCCCGCTCACCAGATGGCAGCATTTGGACAAGGAGGGCGAGAAGAAGGGGAGGGGGTCCCCACTGCCAATAGCACCAACATCTGCGGTGTTGGGGAGGATGAGGGAGGTGTGCTGGGGCCACTTCCGGTGACATTTGCCGCTGCCACGCGTCGCACGAGGACGGCGACGGAGAGCCACATTGTTGCCATTACCGAAGCGTTTCTCTCGCGGCGGCTCGAACTACTCCCCGTCACGGAAGAATCGCGGCAGCAGCAGTGGGAAAAGGGAAGGGAATGCATGCCCCGACGGTCGAGCCAAGCGAGCAGCAGCAATAAAAGCAGGAGTACCGTCATGCTTTCTCTTGTGTCGCGGGAGCTCATGACGCTTCTCACAATGACGCCGTACGGCAACACCATTGCGGTGACGTGGCAGGCTGCGCTGTGCGCCATCTCCAGTGAGGTGCAGCGTGACGGCCTCGACCGCCACTCTGCCAGCGCCCTTGAGGGCCTCGCACAAGGAATGGCAAAGAAGGCACTGGAACCTGGCGGCGCCCCACTCCTCGAGCCGCTTGTTCGTCTGGCGCCGTTCCTGTCACCCTTCATTGTGAGGAAGATTGTGCAGAGCCCAGTAGGCCGCCAGCTCTCGTGGGAGCAATGCCTGCAGCTGCTGCCATGCACGCCCTGGGCGTCCAACGTGCAGCGCCACCTGCTGCGCCGCGTCGTGCAGGAGCGGGATGCCAGCGCACTGCCGTCGGTGCGAGCAATGATGCAGGCAGCCTCACTTCCACCGAGACTTCTGCACGCCTCGCCGACGCTTGAGATGGACCTGCGCATGCTTGCAATCCTCTCGGAGCGCAACTGGCGCCGGGCCTTGCTGGCCTACACGCAGTCTTACACACGTGTGCAGTGGGCCTGTGCGCCACACGTGGTGCGCCTCGCCATTAGCGCAGATGTCTGGCGCACCACCAGCAGCAGTAATGTGCCTGACGCGCTTCAGCCGCTGCTGAACGTGGCGATGCGTGCGATTGGCGGTGAGAGTGTTGCCGAGGAGGTGCTGCGCACGAGCCTGAGCCGCGGGCTGTGGGTAACCGGACTCGCGTTTCATCAGTTCCTTCAGAGGGATCAACCGGCGATACTGCGGGCGAACAACAAGCTTGACGTGTACGCTGCGTTGCTGTGCAAAGGCCTACTATCACAGACTGCGTTGGCAGGCACTATAGCGGCAGTGCTGCGGAGCGCGCGTGGGGCAATGTGGGAGGGGGCGTGTCGGTCGTTTTTGCAGTACGCAATGGAAGAAGGAGAAATCTCACCCAAGCAACAAGGAAGACAACAGCAGAATCGGGCCCCTCACCCGCTCCCTCCTGTTACTAATAGTACAGCTGCTTACCATCATTGGTGCTCTGTGTTTCACACGAGTGTCCCTGCACAACTGTCGCACTTTGCGCACACCGTGCGCTACAGCATGCTCTGCTGCCCAGACATGTGGGAGCGGGCGCTAGAGTGGTTCCCCTCCACTGTCCTGCCGCTTCCACTACAACACCAGCTCCTACTGCAGCGCCTTACAAAAGTATCATCTAACAGCACGGACTTCGTGGGGGAAGCTGTCTTGACCCACGGCAAAGGCGGTGAAGCTGCCATTGCTGTTGTTCCTCCTGTTACTGATGCTGAAACGACACTTAGCCTTCCATCCCCGCTCTCCATGTCTCTCGTGCAGCTTGCGCTTCAGGAGAAGCTGCACCGCACCAAAACACCTGCGACGAAGGCTTCCACAGAGGCTGTCGAGCGTACGTTGCGTGTGCTGCAGGAGCGGGGCCAATGGGAGCAGGCGATGCTGGTCTGCGAGCATGCTCTGGCCAACCGCTGCTTTCCACACAGGGCCAGTGCTATTCTTCTGACGGCCTGTCTCCCCTCGTGGGAGGCATCTCTAGGCTGCTTCGCGCAGCTGACGAACCGCATGCGCCCCGACGCCGTGACGGCGGCGTTGGCGCTTCAGGCCTGCGCGCGGGGCCAGCAGTGGGAGTTGGCCCTGCGTGTCCTGCGCCAGTGTGTCTTAACGAGTGGCGTGCCGGCCCCGCGCGTTGTGGACTACGCCGTGCGCACCGCGCTGGAGTGTGGCGCGTGGCCCGCTGCCCTGCGTGTTGTGCGGCGATACCACCGCACCACCAACCCGGTGCTGGCAAACACCATCATGCACGCCTACGTGCAGGCCCGGTGCTGGAACGACGCGGTGGCGTACTTCTATGACTGCGTCACGCGGGGCGTGCGACCGCTTGACGAGTCCCTCGCGATGGCAATCACCGCCAGCGAGGCTGTGACAGCGGAGTACCGCGGCACCGCGCGTGTGGTGTGCGCCATCGCGTCCGCGCTGGAGGACTTCTGCTATGTGCACGGTGTGGTGCTAGAGCATGTGCTGGTCGTCTACCGCGAGATGTCGGGCGGCCCGCTCATCACACCCGACCCGCACCTCACGCTCGTCTCCCTTGCACACACTAGCACTGGTGCTACTAGTGGTAGTGGTACCAACAGTGGCAGGGACACCGCCTTTGTACCAATCTCGGAGTGAAGCCCACTCCAATGCACAAAACACACCAGTGTTAAACAAGTACTCTCTCTTCTCTCTCTGTGTATTGAGGAATGTATATTGGCATTATTCTTGACGCTATGATGTCTCACATTTTCTCTCGGTTGCCTTTTCTGTCTTGCATTAAGCAGCTACTCGTGTGCTGGGGAGTGGTGAGCGGCAACCACTTGCAAGTAAAACAGGGAGAAGGGAGTATAAGCCTAACACGTAGGACCTAGAGGTGAGAAGACGGAGCAGCAACAATGGGACAGACGCGTACGTTCGTCTTCATCACAAACATCCCAGACTTCCTCCTGGAGCCGCTGTCCATCAACGCCACCGCTGCTGGCCCCCGCGCACGTGCCAATCGTGACCCACGATACGAGCGGCTGCGTGCCCTGCTGGCGGCGAATACGTCCGGCGTGATGCTCGTTATGCACCTCGAGACGCGCGGCTACGGCCTCGCCCTCTACGCCTCGGAGCCAGAGGCGCTCGCGGCTTGCAAGGCCACCATTGTGCCAGCGCAGCCCGGCCACCAGCACCCGCCGCTTCTGCTGCGCATCCTGCAGCGCGAGCGACCGCCGCCGACGGAGGCGGTATACACGCCGACGCTCACAGTGGAGGGTGACGTGGTGCAGAAAGCGGAGCTCGCCGACACGCGTGGCCTTGAGCTGGTGTACCGAGGCCGCGCCGTACCCCGGTGGTGCCCGCACACAGCTGCGCAGGAGGACTGCCCGTTCGGCACCGCGTGCCACCGAATCCACAAGCGCGCGTTCCAGCGGACGGTGCGCAAGCGGCCGCGGGTGGAGGAGGTGGTGACAGCAGCAGTGCGCATGACAGAAGAGGAGCGTCGGTTGGTGCGCCGCATCACGTGCAGCACGCGATTGACAGAAGAGCGCCTCGTCCCCCCAGAGATGCGCTTCGACTTCTCCGTGTACGTGCCCATCACGAAGGAGCAGGCGCTGGCGCTGGTGGGCAACACTCCTGATACTGCCGCTGTTACTGCTGCTGTGGTGCAGCGTGTAGAGGCGGCCTGTGAGGGGCGATGTGGGCCATACTTTGTGAAATTCGCACTCCCAGGCGGTGCACCATGGGACTGGAGTCTCTACGATGCGGCTGTGGGGCTTCCGCAGCTTCGACAGCGTGCCCCATTCCCCGATAACGGTGCCCCAACGCCACTTGAGCGCGATCTGTTTTGCCAGCAGATGCTGTATCATCTGAACCAGATGAACCGCTTTGACACCGTCGCTGCCGCCATCCACGCCTTAGCGATGAGCCCGCGGGCGCGAGAAGCGCTGATGCGCCAGCTGCAAGGCGAAGGTGGGGTGGCAGGCGCGGATAACGAAGTGGAACAGGGCAGCGTCAATGCTGTTACTGGCTCGGCGACACTTGAGCTTTGCGTGCGTCCGTGGCTCGCACTGCCGACAGCTGACATGGAGGTGAGCGTGCTGCTGGAGAACGGCGGCGAAAAGCTGCGTGGGGTCCTGCAGCGCCACAGTGCCCTCCGCCTCATGACCTCCGCCACGTTTCTACAGCAGCACAACATGGACTTCACACGCTATGCTGTGCTGGGCCGAGGCGAAGACACGGAAGCGGAGGAATGCCTTGAGAATGAGTTGCGGCATGTCACGGCGGTGGTGAAGCGCGGCGTCGACACGTTGCGGCAGTACTTGCGGCAACGAACAGCGCAGCAGCAGCTACAACTGCCGCCGGGTGCCGGATGGTGCGTGCAACTCGCCTTGACGCCGCCCCCGTCGTCGTCGTCGTCGTCGTCGTCGTCGTCGGGCGGGGAACATGCGGCTCCGCGGTGTTTGGTACTGTCGCTGCGACCGTACCAGCAGGCTCTGGAGGAGTTCACCGCGGTGTACGGCGCGCTGCGCAGCGATGGGGGCGGCGCGGAGGTGACGTGGAACACAAAGAAACACCCGTACGTTTCTCTTTTTCCCCGCGAGCTGATGGAGCGGCTGGCGCCAGAGCAGCAGCAGCAATAACACGCTGGGGCAAGGCCATTGGGAATGAATCCTTCTCATTGCTGCGGTCATTCTCTCTTAACACATTTGGGTTGCTCTGCCGGATCCTTTGGCTGTCTTGTTCTCTATCTTTCGCTCTCTCCCCCAACCTTTCCATCATCGATGTGCTTATTTTATGTGTATGCTTCTCTCTCTTGGTTTTTTTTTTTTTTTNGGGGGGGGGGGGCTTTTTCTCTTTCAGCACGTCAAGGGAAGGCGAAACCGCACGTACTCCGCGTTATGCCGCCCAAGAAGCGTTCTCGCAGCAATCCGGAAGCGGATGAAGTAGGGGCTTCGCAGGAGGTGGACGCCGTGCACTCGCCCACCAATATCACGACCACGACGACCACCACCAGCAGCAGCAGCAACGGCAACGGCAGAAAGAGTAAGACTGACCATGAGTCTGGAGTGTCTGGTCTGGCTCACGGTGGCAGCGGTGCAGCGACAGGTGGGGCAGCTGCGGAGTCACGGCAAAAGTTGCCGGCCGATCTGGAGGGCCTCGTGCTGCGTTCCTCTGTGATCGCGCCCGACGTGGTGGGCATCCGCTGCGTTGCTGTGCACCCTGGCGAGCGCGAGATGGTTGTCGTGCGCGAGAACGGCTCGATGATATTGTACAGCATAGAGAGCTTCCAGAATGTGCCGCACTTCCAGCAGATTCGCCACACTGGCGGGCGGGCGAACCGCACCATCACGCGCGTACGCTACCTACCTTGCGTCCGCTCCACCTTTGCCGCGTCGTACCTCTCCGGTCAGCTGGTGGTGTACTGCGGACAGACGCTTGCGCCGCTGCACGTGCAGCAGCGCACTGGTGGCGCTATTTGGGACTTCTGCATCGCCGGCCCACTGCTCTACGCCGCCGTGGCGGATGGCTCGTGGCAGCAGCTGCGCATGGACTGCGACGCGGCGGTGCCCACATTGTCGTTGGAGCGCATCATTCCAAAGGTTTCGGGCGCCGACCGCGCACTGAGTGTGTGCTGCTCCCAGAAATGGGGCATTGCGGCTGGAACGGACGACGCGGGGAACGTCATGGCGTGGCGCATCCCACACGATGGGGCTGGAGAAGCGGGCAACAGCAGCGGTACACGCGGTGCACGACCATCGGGTCTTAGCGACCACGAGGCATTGTGGACGAGCCGTCTACCAAAGGGCATGGGCATATGCAGTGCGATCAGTGGCGCCGGCTGCAGCAGCAGCGCTAGCAGTGGTGGCAACGGTCCTGTTGTGGCGGTTGGCACGACGATGGGCGACATTGTGCTTTTTGATGCACGACACGGGCACGCGATCAAGACATTCACGCACCACAAGGGGCCCATCAGCACGCTGGTGAGCAGCAGCGGCGAGGACGACGGCGCAGTGCTGTACGCGTCCGGGTGGCACGAGTCCCTCCGCTCATACCGCTGCGACACCGACGGCGAGTGGTACCCCGCAGAGGTGAAGCGGCGCACACACTACCACGAGGCGAGCGAGCTGCTTGTGCTGCAGCAGCATCAGTTGATTCTCTCCGCCGCCCGAGACGGAACCATCATGTACGCACCGCTCGCCTCCGTTTTTACATCACCCACGATGTACGTGTCCGTCACAACGCAGCAGTTCGCGTTTGCAAAGGCAAAGAACGTCCTGTTGCATTCACGCCACGGTCGCATTGAGGGCTTCCGCACTGACGCTGCGCTACGGCACTGGGCGCCATTGTTCGCCCACAAGGTCCATGGCAGGTTCCACCTGCAGGGGCTGTGGTGCGACGAGCAGCTGCACTACATCCTTTTCGCCACCGACGAACGGGCAGCGCTGCTGCGGGTGTGCTGGCGTGACGGTGCCGAAGACGCCCTCGCACTGCACCGTATCGAGGAGGCGGTCAGTCTCCCTGCTGGGCGCGGCGTGCTGGACTGCTGCTTCGTACCGCACAGCGGGGAGTCAGCAGCGGCAACAGCAACAACAGGCAGCTGCTATGTGCTGCTCGACAACGCCGTGCTGCACATCACGTTGGGCGAGGGATACCCCGTGGTCTCCACAGCGCTCCACACCGACGGTGGCGAGGGCAACAGCGACATGCGTCCCACGCAGTTGCTGGTCGGTGAGACAGGTGACACACTCGTTGTGTGCGGGCTGCGTGGCCGCCTCACCTGCAGCACCGCGGCGGACGGCACAATCGACCCCAGCAGCTTCGTGTGGAAGCGCGAGCCGACGCGAATGGCCGCGGCGGTGCCAACGGTGCACCTGCAGCAGCATGAAAAAATGCCCCTGTCTACGATTGTCGCGCTCACAAACGATGGACGCTACGTGGCAGGGCTGGATGCTTCCACTCCGTGCCTGCTCCCGCGCACGCTGCCACACGACACGCGGTTCATTGCGCGGCTGCCGCCGCTGAGCAGTGGCGAGGACGACGCTGACGGCACCACCGCGACGAAGAGGAGGCGCTCAGCGCTCCGGTTTCTGGCTGTCTTTTCCCGTGGCCTGTTGTACGTGACGGAGAGCACGTGGCACATGGTCAATCGTTGCACCGTTGAGGCGGCCTTTGTGCTGCAGGACAACGAGCGGGTGCTACTGCTGCAGCGCAACCTCGAGGGGACGCTGGAGGCCCTCCCGCTCTGCTGGAAGGTGCGGCGCTTCGGCAACTAGGCGCAGTGCACCGCGCACAATGAGACTACAGCAACAAAAAAAAAACAGCCATGGAAGCGGGGGACGCAGAGCAATGAACAATAGGATGAAGCCTTCACTGCGCTTCTTCTTTTTTTTGATTTTATCTGCTAAGAAAGAGATAGCATTCTCTGGCGAAGATGATAACAAGAGGGAAAAGTGAGTCGATTAAGATATTTACAAGGCGCCAGTGGGGTGTGTGGTGCGGTCTGTGCGTCTGCGAGAGTGAGGGGGGGAAAACCGACGACGCACGGCACTGCACATTGCCTACAGGCACTCATGAGAGCAGCTGGCGGAATGAAATGAAGGAACACGCGTATAAACTGTGACTGATGGTTGATTATGTGTCTACATTCACACTACTTCCCTCACCCTCACCCCCACCCCTCTCCTCCTTTCTCTTTCCTTTCCAACTAAATCTTTGTTTTCCACGCCAATAGGACGAGTGGCGGCCGCAGGAAGAGGCGAGGGGCTTGGAGAGGTGTGTGTGCCCCGTCACTACCATAGGGAGGCATCAAGACTCAGAGCAAAGGCCGCCTCTTGGTAAAAGGTGGAAGGTGAGATGGTGGCGGATGCCGCTGAGCTGCTGCCGCACTCGGGCTTCCCTGTAGCGGCCTGCATTGTGCAGCAGAAGAGGCATCTCGCCGATGTGGTGTGCCGGTTGCGTGTGGCGAAGTTGCTGCGGAGGGGCCGCAACGTCACGTCCTTCAGTGTGTGCTCGTGCGACGCCTCGGTAAACGCCCATGAGGAGGACATCGTTGAAACGACACTCACGGGGCTGCGGATGCAGCGCCTGCGGCTTTGTGGCGTGACCGGCGACGAAGACGCGGTGGAGGCGTGGGCCCGCGCCGGCAGCGGCATTGACTTGAAGGTGCTGCGGCAGTCGCACCTCGCGGTGCACGTCGTGGGGAAGCTGCCGTTGTCGCTGCTCGACGAGCTGCTTGCACACACCACGGCGAGTGAGGACGGCGGTGTCGTGTGCGTCATTCCTCAGCTGCGTATTTACTCCGAGGCGTGCTGTGACGCGGCAGACCTGCCGCCACCGCTCCGCACACTGCGCAGCATCGCGGCCCGCAGCCGCCGCGCCGGAGGGGGCGATGAGGGGATGAAGGTGCCGCTGCAGGAGGAAGAGAAACAACAACAACAACAACAGCAG